GAACTAAGAAGAGCAAAACAACATGTGACTCGGCGTTACGCAGGCACACACTGCGCGGCCGCCCCGCCCCGCCGCCTGCATTGGCGCCGCGCCTCCCGACGGATGGCACGCGCGGCCAATGGGCGTGAGGCGCGGGGGGGTGGACCGCGCGCCCCCGCCCCGCCCCCCTTTCTCCCCGGGCTGCGTTTCCCGCCGTCCCCGCCCTCTCCCGCGGAGGCTGGGGCCGGGGCGGGGTGGGGGCCGGCCCAAACCTCATTAATCAGAGGCTCCTTGTGGATGCAGGCGGAGGAGATGCCACCCAGGGCGGGAAAAGGGGCGCGCAGAAGGGGCGGGGGCCAGCCGCCGCGCGGAGGGTCCTTCCCTCCCGCTTTTACTCAATTAATTGGGCTCGGAACGTCCGCCTGGGAGGGGATCGGAGGAGGAGACACTGCAGGGGACAGGGGCCGGTGACGATCCAGGCCCGATACCGCCCTCGGCTCTGGGCGCAGGGAATGGGGTAACACCCCACTTTGGCCCTTCATTGCCCCGCCACCGCCACACTCGCGGCGGGCAAGAAAGGGTAATGAACTTGGCTGCCCTCTCGTAATCCCCTCCTACCAACACACACTTCGGCGAGCGGATTCTGCGCCCAGACTCAGGGTGGGCGCGCGCCCGCCCGCCGCAGCGGGTTTGCGCCTGGGTGGTTCCTTGGTGCCCCGCCGGCGGCTTGTTTACGATCATCACATTAGTCACCGGTGAGCTCTGGATCGATATCAGCTTCGTGCCCCTTCCTGGAAGGAGAGCCGGGGTGCGGGAGGGGCCGTGGCGCCCCCAACTCCCCCCAGCCACACTGGTCGCGGGTGGCTCCCAGGGCCCCACCCTCCAGGGGTGCCCTTCCCCGGCACCCGGGTCTAGGGCTTTTTCCCGGGCGTCATCAGCACCATTCACTTGTCTTGAGAAGTTGAAATTCTCTGTTAGGGATGCAATAGAAAGAGGACATAAAAAAAAAATGCTGTTTCCATAGTGCCGGGAAGAGGGTGGGCTCCAGCGAGAAAACAGCTTCGTGATCCTGGTGCCCATGGCGGGGTACCCCCCCGCCCCGGGGTATCCCTCCCTCCCCCCACCGACCCTGGACTGCCTGCACAGAGGCGCTGGGAATGGGCGGCTCCAGACCTGTACGTCCTTACCAGGCAGCAACTGCTGCGTTGAAGATGCCCTTGAATAAGTGCTCTTATTTTTATATCTGCGCCGCTTTTGACTTTCAAAGTGGATTACAAATAAGGACCCATACAATGGCTTCTCGAAAATGACAGAAGTGAGGGCTACCGGTGAGGGTGGGAGTTCCTGGGTTGAGATCCTATCAGGCTCAGGGGCTTGCAGAAACTAAGAAAGCTAACAAAACAAACCCCTGTCTACTTAAAAAAAAAAAAATGTGTCTTCATGAAATAATTTGAAACAATAATGTGGCTATTTTTTTATTAAGCCCTGCCTTTGAATGTCCTCTGTAGTCTATAGAAGCCTTTATTTTTTTAAGATGTGATGAAATCTTAAATCTAAGGAAAATAAGTAAAGATTGTAATTTTGAAAATGTGTTATAACATATTATAATATAACATATGTGTAAGAATGTGGCAAAGATTCTGCTAGCTAACATGTGTAAAGAGAACCCTACTTACATGAAGATCATAGCATTTATAGCATGCATACACTTATGAGAAGCATAAATTTAGGAAGAATAATAAGTGAGGCAAACATAATAGAATTTGCTCAAAGAAGTATATTTGAAGTTGCACCTCCATTTGAAACCATGCTTTAAAAAATACGGCTAGGAATGCCATTTGTAAGTGTGTGTGTGTGTATGTATGCATGTGTGTACATATATATAGGTGTGCATGTAGGCATGTGTGTATGTGATGTGTGTCTGTATGGGTATGTATATGTATATCTATACATGTATAATTGTGTGTATGCTGGGGGACCCACCTTTATGGACATTGTACTCTGGCTTTTTTATTCTTTTAGACCCTGTTGCTCTTTCTATGTTAACAAATGTTGCCTAGCAATATGTCTACTCAGATGAAAGGATTCTTATCTTAGGGCTTGAAGAAAATGTGGTTCCGTTTTATTGGCTTTGTGATGATTTACATCCCACTATAAGGGATGTTAACAGGCCTGCTTGTATGTTCAGTGATGCTAACTAGCAGACAATTATCATGGGGCAGCCTCTTTTCAGCATCATGCAATAATGCTTTCTTCTGAAAAGTACCCTTAGCAATTGTTTCATGTTTTCTTTTTGATTCAGATTTTAATACAACTTTAGATTTTCACATATTTATTGAATATTTACTTGCTGTGCCCATCAGGTGTTCACAGCGTCATCTGTTTTTTCCCTTAGGACGATTCTAGTGTCAAATGCCAGTATTCAGGTTAAGGTGTCAGGGGCTCTAAGTTGGCTGTTTGCACTTTAGCCATGTACTGTCTCAGTCACCAGTTCGGGGCAGAAGAGGGAAGGGGGAGGAATTATCACCTGTATCAGTGGTGTTCTCATACAAGATCACAAATCTACAGCAAAACTGCAAACTACTTGTCTTTCCGACATCTTAGAACCTCTAAATACAAATTCTATTCTTATTAAGAAGTCAGTTCATGAAACTCTGTAATTGGAAATATCCCAGTCTTCCTCCTCCACGAAGGAACTCATTGTCTTTCTCCCTTTCTATTGCCAGATAAGCTATTTATTTCCTTAAAGCTTGTTCGACACCTTGTGATTTTCCAACTGTTCTCCCATACTCTTTCAGCAAAAGTCAGCTAACAACATCTGCCAACCTGCTCTCCATGCAGGCTGGGTACTGCTTGTGTGGCCTGTTGCCAGCAAGCAGCCTGGATGACATTTTTTTCTCATGGTCCAGGATCTTTCATTGGAAGTCCTTTTTCCTTTCATGGATAACAAAATGGCCATATCTCTTAGCAAGGAGTGTTTTTGTTGTGTGTGTGTGTGTGTGTCTTTGTGTGTGTGTGTTTTGTTTGTGTGTGTGTGTTTTGTTTCTGTTGGGTTTTTTTTTTCATAAAATTGTATGAAATGACCCTTTTTATTTAAAAAAAGTCTTTCCTGGGATAATTTAATTGCCTTTCAGAAAATAGTCCATTCATTAAAATATAGATGTTAAAATGTATAAAAATCTATACTACTTATAATAGTAAGCATCATTTATACTTTCTCTGTTTCATATAGAAAGGGCATGTTAGGAGGAGAAAGGTAGATAACATTTCAGTGCTTAGGTGTTTTTTTTCTTTTTAATTCACAACACTGTAACTGCTTGACAGTATTGTCTATCTAGATTAACTCTACCTGAAAACTTACTAGGGAGCGGCATTAGGAAGGTTGAGAACCACTGGTCTAAAGGATCAGGATTTGTTAATAGATCATATCAGTTCCTTGGAAATTGTAAAGACTTTCCACTTTAGTATTTATTTTGATCATTAAAAATACTGATATAGTCCAGCTGATATGGCTCAGTGGTTGAAGGTCGACCCAGGAATTAAGAGGTCAATAATTTGATTCCTGGTTAGTGCACATACCCGGGTTGTAGGCTCAATCTCCAGTAGGGGGCGTGCAGGAGGCAGTGGATGGATGGTGTTTCTCTCTCTTCCACTTCCTTCCTCTCTAAAAATCAATAAAAATATATTTTAAAAAAATACTGATATATTTCCAATAGTCTTTTTCTTAAATATTCATTTAGAGAGGAAGGATTTTCCATAATAAAGGAATATTTCATGTGCATATAAACAGAGCAAACTACTATAGATAACCCACTTTCACCGATAACAATTAATCCTGTTTTGAAGAATACTCATTCAGTAGGCACAGGAACAGCTAACCGAATATTAAAAACATTTTTGTTTTAAATATAATTATGTTGAAGAAATTTAAACATATAAACGACCAATTACAAAGTGACTACAGTTAGTAACTTAAAATTCTTATTAATTTACCACTGGATTTTGCTATGTTTGAATGTTGAAAATGTATTTCTAGATTTTAAAAAAATCTCTCAAAGACTACCCATGATTGAAATAAAAATTTTACATTATTGACTGTATGACATTACTGAATCATAAAAAGAGCAAAAGGTTTCCTCTTAGAACACTCCTCTTCCTGGGAATGCTGGCCCCGTAACCTAATCACTCACATTTTGCATGACTAAATTGATGCCTGGTGTGGTGATG